GATTTCAACATTTGTAACAGGAAAAACTGTTTGATTTCCTATTCATTCACATTTGTAATTGTTTGTGAATTTTTGGAAATTTTTCGGCGTAGTTTTGTATTCCACTGTATGGTTCTCAATGTGGCTTTTCTCTGCTGTTCAAAATGATATAGATATTGAGGATATCACGCTACCATTGACCTACTCAGATTGATTGACCTACTTTGCCATATTTAGCTCGTTTAACATCACTATGTATGAAATAAACATTTTGACACAGTTTTCTTACCGTTATATCCATGACATTTTCCTGTAATTGTTCTCGTCCATTCTTCGACGTGAAAGTGAAAAAAATCTCTAGAAAACTGATAACTCCTAATTTTTTCAGCTTCTGCTTTCCTTAAGTTTTTGAAGTGTTTATTTTGTGATCATTTTCCTCTAGAAAAACCCTCCTCTATTCACCTTGTTTATTTGCATGTTTCTCAAAAAACATGAAGTTTTTCCTGTTCCAAATGATATCGAAGATGTCACGCTTTCCTGAGGCTGATTTCGCACCTCAGAGCGACGAGGTGCGAGGAAACCTCTCGGCAAGAGTTTTTGACGACGAGCATAATTGCTGTACCATCTGCAGCGGATTTGCCGGCAGCTCTGGCGGCTGGCTGCGGCAGCAGTCGGCTGCCCGGGTACCACTTGCACGCCTCCCATTCGAAATAAATGTTTTGTCTCTTCATTCTTCTATCTTCTATCTATAAACGCCAGGGGTGAGAGGCAGGGAGTAGAGAACGGGGTTGAGGGTCGCGCTGAACTCCTGCCCGGGGGGAGGGTCGTATTCGGCGGTCATATGCCATGCTCGACGCTGGTCTAGAGCTAATTCGGGTGGGGTTTAAAGACATAATTGGGGCTTGGAGTTTAATTAGGGCTAGTTACAGTATGCTGCGGCAGACTTCCGGAGCACAAAATGGGAGGGCTCCGGAGTCCAAAATGGGAGGTCTCCGAAGCACAAAATAGGAGATTTCCGGAGCACAAAATGGGAGGTCTCCGAAGCACAAAATAGGAGATTTCCGGAGCACAAAATGGGAGGTCTCCGGAGCACAAAATGGGAGGTCTCCGGAGCACAAAATGGGAGGGCTCCGGAGCACGAGTGGCAGACCCCCGCTGGGGAAACCCCGTGGCTCTGCCATTTCTGCTCCGGAAAAATGCTGTCGACTGTCTGAGCTCAGTTGGCACTGGAAGTTGGCTGTTGCAGGACTAAGGTGACAGAGTAGCTTGAGACGTTACTATCAACCTTTTTATAACATATCACAAAATACAGTTAAATATTTGAGTAAATAGCTTATTCGAACTGCTAATAATGATTAAATGTACTATCTGTTAAAAGTAATTAACCATGTACCGTATTCAGTGTTCAAAGACCAAGTTAGATACACATTCACTGAAATCCCACTCTAGAACAATCACCTCCACTCGTAAGGTAGTGGCTGAACAACTTGAGCCTTTATGAAGAGAGATAACAATAGTTTTCTGCATTTTATATAGCTATAGACGTTTCACCTTAAAGTTAAATTGAAAAGATAAGTCTGACTTGAACAAACTTTCAGAACACGAGATATATTGTATAGTCACCCTCACCCCACTAGTCGGTCGGTGGACGAATTCAAATTTGAATTGGAGCGGGCCTGTCACGGCAGAGCGTGGCAGGAGACAACGCTCAGCAATTACAAAAACTCAATATAGGTCAAAAACGTTGTAACAATACAAAAACTGCTAAGCAATGGCGAAGAAGCACGCAAAGTGGATGCGTGAATTTGAACGGAGAGCTAAGGTGCCGTGCTCTGCCGCGACCTGCCTGCTCCAGTTCGACTTCGAATTCGTCCACCGACCGACTAGTGGGGTGAGGACGACTATATAAGGCATTTGAAAAATCGTGACGATGGCGCGACCGCGCGCGACACGCACGCCACTTCCGGAAATCGTATTTTCTTGATTTTCATCTCTAGCTAAGTGGTTTTTTTGCTTTATGATGATATTCAAACACTGGAAGTGACTGAGCTAAACGTTGAGGTGATGCTTTCTTGTGAGAGCGTTTTATGCTACTATGGGAGCAAAGTCAGCAGTGAAATCCGCCGTCACGATTTTGTGAATGAACTATAACGTTCCAAATCAAGCGCCCGTCTCTCGAAGTTCCCTGGCAAGATTTGAAAAATTTCGTGCGGTGAGATAGGTGTAAGCAATGAGCGACTAAGCACCTTCAGGACTCACTGTTTAGAATATGAAGAAAGCACAATAACCTTTGATACTTCGAAACAGCTACTCCTGGACAAAGGCAAAGGCACCTTTCACCCAACTTGAGGATGATGAGATTTGGATGCCATATGATAGCGTGCCCTTCACCAAGTGCTTGCCCAAGTCTCAATGCAAAAGAATTATTCTGAGAAGAGAAAATCGCTCCAAAAGATGGCAGCGACCAAGATGGCTCCGTCCACCAACATATGCGGTCGAGGATAGTAAATCCAAAATTGGACTTTAGGATAGACAGTAGATGTGGACTGAGGGGAGGAGGGGCGCCCCCCTCCCCCGCCCCAAGAATGGATCATGAAATTTTTGAAAGTTACTTACATGGGATAATTGCAGGTGACTTGTTTATACTAATAATTGAAATGATATTCAGGACTTTCTAAAATTTCAAATCAGTTTTGTAGAAAAACTGTTTTGAAAGGGAGGGGGGGGGGGGGGGGGAGAAGAGGCTGCCGCCGCGCCCCCCTTTTTGATTGGGGACGTGGTTAATCCCACGCTTGTCTCTACTCCCCTCCCCCCCCCCCCCCCCCCCCACCTCAACCCTCATAGGCTTTTTATCTTCAAACAATCCGTGTTGGTGATTGGAGCCAGCTTGGCCGATCCTCACTTTGAGAGCGATTTTCTAGATTCGCAATTCGTCTTTTGCAGCGGAATTTAGGCATTACTTAATCAGGAGCGTCGATATTATACGGCATCCATATTTTATCACTCTCAATGTGGACGGACGGTGCCTTCAAGCGAAAATGTTTACCAATTTATTCTCGAAAAACCCGAAAATCCTTCAGAGAAAAATCCAACTGTGAAATGCAACGGGGTGTATAGAGGAATAATCAAGAAATCGTTACACAATGGCAGCGATCGTGTTTTCGCAAACAGAGGAGCGCAATAAGAGCACATAAAATAGCTCGCGAGTGCCTATGCATATCTGTCTTACGTAAAAAACTTGGGAAATCGTAACCATTTGCATATTTCAGCTCCCGTGCATCAACGAACAAGATATTCAGTAACTCGTTTCCCTCATAAGACTCAGGAGCAAGCGAACAACTAAAATCGTACCGATGTGTTATGGAAACCTACAACTGGTCTCAATTGCAGCGTACAATCCAGCGCAAGCCACCCGTGCTGCGAGCCGCGGCACAGTCAAATCATCGTAACAGAGTATGCTTATCGATAGAAGCAAAAGTATATGATTTTGCGTCTACTACGGTACTGCGCAATAGTCGTAGTAAATTTATTGTGTCCCGATCCGGTGAAATCGATGCGGAGCTCGCAAAGTCGTTCCATGCAAAAATCAGGCATGATTCGGTGATCCCTACACCTTTCAGAGACAATTTGCCGTGTCAAAGTGAGAACCCTTCACCAACCGAAACCACTGGTTTCAGCCGAGTTCGATGTTTGCTTCAATATTCTAAGATAGCAATTTGTAAATAGAACTTTACACAAAAAAGCGTGAGGAAAACTAGCTATCGTGTCTTAATCTACAGTGTCTGTCGAAAGAGAGGAACAAGAAAGAATTGCGCGTGCTGACGCGGTACATCATACTTCACTTGATTCCGCTATCCCTCTCTGTACAAACGATTCTTAGAAAAAAGAAAATCATGAGAAGAAGCCGCAGGATGCTCATGGCCACATGCCTCCAGAATGGCACCAACTTAGATCGAAAAATCTTAGCTCTAGCACCATCTCAACTCGAAAAAGACATACAGGGCTCCTAAATTGCAGAGTCGTTTGCACCAGCGGTCGCGCGAACGCGTCGCGCCCGGGCATTTTGCCGGCGCCGGCGTCATCGATTGAGGCGGCGCCATTGATGCCCGAGCGCGACGCGGTCTCGCGACCGCTGGTGCAAACGACTCTGCAATTTAGGAGCCCTGTACATGTGTCGCTCTTGATAGTAATTATGATCGCTTGATTTACCTTTGCAGACAAGTTAATGAGATATGGCTGTGGTTCCGACATCCTTTCGTGTCACAGACACGACCACATCTAGTTCTTTCCTGAATAGAAAAATTTTAGTCGGCACGCTTGTAGACTGCAGTCTGACATTTATTAGCATGATGAGAGCAATGAGATGAGGATTAATCGTAACACATAACATCATGGAGAGTGCACCACAGAACTGAATAACAAGGTGCATTGGAGAAAAGAAATATTTCAAACAGGCTAACATCAATGCAACAACCAGAGCTCTCCTGTATGATCCAGCGACAATGAATTATCAATTTGTGAGAAAACAACACCCAGGGCGCAATCACCAACAATTACCCGAGGCAAACCTGCATACCTCAAGACTTACATCACTAATAAAACTATCCGGACAGCTCTTCACAGTGTCAATGATAAACTAGGCAATTTTATGATAAGACTACCCAAAGGTACGCCTTTAGTTTTCGGTATTTTTGTTGACTACGCCCATTGGAATTTTATGGAACATCGTTCTGACGACCGGTAGTCTTAAAGGCAGTGTCTCGGCAGAAATTCTTTTTTTATTTTTTACCTTTTCGGAGCCTTTTTGCCATGAGGAATCCATATCTGCGCCTTTCAGCTCATGAAAATGGCGAGAATGAGCTTTTTTCGAAGCTTCCCACGTCCGCATTTGATGGAGAAAACAGGTAATTGAATGGGCCAGCAACAAAGAAGGCGGTGCGCGAAAGACTTCTAGCAGATCCTGACTGAATGCGGGCCTCGAAAGCTTCGGGAAAAGCTCATTTTCGCCATTTTCATGCGCTGAAAAGCCCAGATAAATTCCTCATGACGTGAAGACCTCGAAAAATTCCTCATGAAGTGAAGACCTCGAAGAAGCGAAAAATTGGAAAATGAAATCCTGCCGAGACATTGCCTTTAACAATTACTGATAGAAGCTTTAAAAAGCCCATACGCAGCCAGTACACTCTACGCGCTGTCTTCCGCATGACTTCTGGTTTTGCTTCCCTTCTAAAACATATAGCTGCAATTATGGATAGACCAAGACACTAAATGTCTGTAGACTAACCTGACGACGATCATCGTGCTCTTCACTCTTCCGCTCCTTTGATCGCCTACGTCGGCTTCGGTCACTTTCCCGTTCTTCACTTCTTTTACGTTCCCTTGAGCTCCTACGATGTCTTCTGTCATCATCACGCTCACCACTTCTTCTGCGTTCTCTTGATCGCCGGCGCCTACTTCTGTCGCTTTCACGTTCCTCACCCCTTTGCTCTGTAGAACTTTTCCTCTTGTTCGTTTCATGGTCATCACTCTTGCGTTCCGAGCTTCTTCGTCGTTCCCTGGAACTCTGATGGCGATCGGCATCTTTATTCTTCTTCTGTTTAGCATCATCTTCGAGTTCATCCGCCTTTCCATGCTGTTCTTTAACAGTGTCGATCACAGCTGGTTCTTCATGATGCTCACGCCCATGCTCACTGATAGCGGGGTCTTTGGGTTCGCTTCCATTGAGATCATCTGCTGACCTAACAGGCAAATTCTTATTTTCTGCATCTTCTTCCTTCTGCGTTGCGACGTTCTCTTCATGGCCTTCTTGCAGCTGAAAAAAGACAAAATCAACAGATCATTGAATGTCTAGACATACATAAACTCCTCGGTATTTTGGATAAATCAACCACTTTCAAATACAGTGACATTCTCTTATCTAAACTGATCCTGCTGTATTATGAGCTCAAAAGCGCGGAGCTCAGGCTCAAAGGATGTAACATCTTTGAACTTGAAAGTACTTCGCACCCCCCCCCCCCCCCCCTGGCCCGATGCACTCAAGTTTCATTAAAGCGTCAATTGCTTTTTTACAACTGATAATTATAATTCTCTGCAAAAAAGTCAAAAGAGTAGGCGATGTTTAAATGCGGCCGGTAATACGACCGCAAATATGTGAATACTCGTAACGAATTTCGGCAGATAAGCGTTCGCATTAAGGTAATGTATTATAGGTAGAAGACTGAAAAAAGTACCAAACAAAATAGAAACCGCAGAATGACGTTTACCTCAATTTCTTCCTCTTGATGATCGTCACTTGCGTCACCATCTGGAGACATGTGACGATGATCATCCTGCGACTTCTTCCTTTCGCGCTCTTCTTTTTCCTAAAAATCGTATATACAGATAGAAATAGTGAAAATGAGTTGAAGTGTGACGTACCGCGTTAGCACGCGCTATTCTTTCTTGTTCTTCTCTTTCGCGAATGGCTCGTTCTTCTCTCATTTCCTGCACTTTTTTCAATGAGATCAATTTTGCCTAAACAAAATTAGTGGATGCGACGACCAACAATTCCATATATTTCCTGTGAATTCCAATTTCGAAACAGAAAAGGCACACAACCATGCATTCCTTACCTCCTCACGCTTCCAATGTGGAGGAGTCTTATCTCGGACCGAAGGAAGAAAACGCATTTGTCCACGACCTTTCACTTTTATCTTTTTCTCGGGCTCACGTTCTCTTCGATCCTGATTGGTATCAATTTAGATCACCGCAGATGAACTAAAATTGAAGGGACACTACCGAGCGACGTCCTCTGGACCTCGACCGAGATCTTCTCCTGTGCCCTGACCGTGAACGGGACCGTCGCTGATGACGAGAACGAGATCGTGATCGCTTTCTTTCCCGCGAACGCGTGCGCGACCGTCGTCTTTTTCTATCACTCTTGAATTGCCACGTTGAAAAATGGTAACAGGGATACTGAATGGTAAACTCACATCATGATGCTTGTCTCCAGCTTTCCTGCCATTTTCCTAAATTTGTAAGCATATAAAGCCATCTTCCTAAATACATCACCTGATAAAACTCTGAAAACGGTTAAAAATGGACTGAAAATCAGAAAAAAACAATCAGTGAGTAAACTATATACGACTGCAAAACATATACTCAGTATGAAACACGGACGTTCTTGATGTTTCTCAGAGCCAAACCGTAGCTTATAAGGGAATGGTCAGCAGTCGAAATGGCCAATCCCAAAAAGCTGCACACCACTGAATAACATAGAAAGCTGACTCCAATAGTATAGAACGCCGGCTATGTCAGTCATACACACTGAATGCCTTTGTAGACGAAATTATAAGCAAGAAAATCGCACATAAAAATTGAAAAAGCACATTGTTCGTGTTCTAGCTTATTTTAGGGCTATATAAACTGACTTAATACATGCATTGGCCCAACATTGGCTGAACATGACTCTGTGCAGTCAAATTTGCACTTTGCATAGGCAAATTTTTTAGAAGTACATGGCTTCTGATGGCTTATAGCTTCGTCCACAAAGGCGTTCAGCGGATATGGAAAATTTTGAAGTCAGCGTTCCGTTGCAGTCAATGGTATGCAGTTGGTATGGATTGGCCACGTCGACTTCTGACCATTCCCTTGTTAGCATATAAGAAAACTTGAAGAAAAAAAGAACCACTACCTCTCCTTTCCAGAAAACATGCATCCCAAGCAATAAGATAGTAGTAAACATACCTTTTCCTTCTTACGATCTTCTGGAGTTTTCGACCTTCGCATCAAAAACGCATGCTGATTTGGTGGCTCCGGTGGAAGATCTTCTTTCTTGACCGAGCATACCTGTAAAAACAGGAGCATAAGAATTTGTGTCTGTGATATTCAACAGTGAAGACATCTGACAAGACAAATTTTGCATCGTACCCGAAAAAACGCTGCGAAAGGCGAATTTGGATGTTTGCTCTACTGTTGCTCTTACCCACATATCCTCTTTAGAGATAAGAAGTGTTTTTTTTTCACGCTTTTTATACATCTTCAAGCAAGATGTATAAAGAGCGTGATCATTCTTCCTGTCCAGATACACCCAAAATTGCAAGCGCTTCCAAGAGCCCACTCAGGCTAGCATGCATGAACGAATTTGCGTCAAGAGAATTGCACGGGTGCACGAGTTGTAAGATGGACGCAGACGAGTGTCCCAGAGACTATTATGGAAAATATGATATTGACGAGACATCAATTTGGACTCCTGGAAAATCGCGAAACTTCCATTGCCAATCAATAGGGGGCGACAGCTTAGCGAGGTGAGACAGATCCAGCTTCAAATCGGATCCCACTTATGTATGATCGCATTTTCATACCAAACCCATAAGCTGAAGACGCTCATTGTCAACTTGTTCCGGCGATTTCAAGATATTGATGGTTTGATGCTAAAAGTAAGAAAAAAAGAGAAGCAAACCAAGCAAAGCGGTGCAAGTGAGCCTCTAATTCCTGAATCTCGATATTTTACTGACCACAACTGCGTCCCTCTTGTCTTCCTCCTTCTCGATGCTGGTCGCTCTTTCTTCGTGATGCTTTTTCTTGGCTTTCTCCTCCTCACTGGAATACCTTACATACAATGCAAATCAAATCTTCTCGGAAAGCATACCTATCCGAAGATTCGCTTTCAGAACTAGACACTTCCTTCTTCCTCTTTCTTACCAATTCACCACAGTTAGTAATAATTACATCAGCTATTGGACAAGAACGCGCATTCACTTTGAGATGCTCGATCTCGGTAACAACCTCACTACCAGAGATCACCTTAAAGATGGTTAAATAAGAGACTATGATAACTACCATCAAATGCTATACCTTGCCGAAAACAACATGTTTGTTGTTCAAATGTGGAGCTGCCTTTGTGGTAATAAAAAATTGTGAGCCATTGGTATTAGGACCCTGAACACCCAAATACTCTTAAACTGTTAAGCAGATAAGATAATTGTGAACAATTTTCTCAAAAAATAATGAACAAAACTTATTAAGCACATTCTGATGTGTGCAATTTCCCATTTTTGAGCTTATTTTTCCTGACATATTTGCCGATGATCCCTCGCAGATTGAAAATACTAGTTTGGGCTAAAATACTCACTTTATTTGCCATGGATAATAAAAAAGGCTGGTCATGTTTCAAGATGAAAGGCTCGTCGTCGAAAAGTCCTCCATAGATGGACTCTCCTCCGGTACCCTTTCCAGTTGTAAAGTCACCGCCCTAAGTCAACAAATTTACTTCGAATAAGTGCTAGAGATTAGAAATGATCAAACCTGAATCATAAAATCCTTGATAACTCTATGAAAAGTCGAGCCTTTATAATGCAGTGGCATACCGCTCTGCTTGCCAAGCCCCGCAGCTCCTGTGCACAATTTCACAAAGTTTTCCGTGGTTTTAGGAGCTGAAAGCATTTTCAGAAGGTACAATGCTGACTTTATACGAAACCATATCACAATTCTGCACTCACCAACATCGTCAAACAACTCGAATACAATCCTTCCCGCCTCCCTTCCATCTATAGAGATATCAAAGAAACTTCTTCTGTGATTTTTACCCATTAGAGTCTGAAATGGCACATGGATCCAATAGTTTAACAAAAAATTCTGAATCAAACATTCTACTTGCCAAAAAAAGAAAGAAACAGAGTTCACAAGAAAACGCCGATAAAGGCGCAGAATTCTTTACGATGACGACGCGGTCAGATTCAAAAAAGGCCGTAGTGTATGATGCGATGTGCAAGCGCAGAAAGCGCCCAGCTACAGTACAATTCATTTGTCAAAATTCAAAAGAGAGTAGCTGGCTTACCTGGCTCCGCCCGGCCATGTCAATGCTATGATTAAGGTCTTATCCCTATCCCTGTAAAATCTTTCATTGTGCCCAGTTCTACATGCAATTTCCTATTCCCGCTGTGTTAGTAATTAGCATGCCCGCTTACCTCCCTCAACAACCCCAGCCCCGTAGCTCGAACTTTGCAAGAAAAACCCCAATAAAATTGGTAAAAGTAAGGATAATTCTGAAAACTGATGGCGCTATTCGGCTATCCGGCCCCAAAATGTTTTTGTGATGGATCTTGCTCAAAGTCGGTACATGGGGATTATTAAAGCCCCGCTGATGACGAATATCGTAGTCATTTCGCGCGATAGCGCCATTTTGTGGGTTTACGTTAGGTACACATAAGAAGCTAAAATCATGGATTTTGCTGAAACTTTGAGGGGGCTAATTGACATGCTGATTACGAATATCATACTCCTTCGGCATTTTGAGGCGATTTCACTGAGTTATGGTAGATATACTGCAGAGTGAAACTCGGTCTAAAAAGATTCGACCTTCTGACCACGTTTAAAACACTCTCGTTGCGTTTTGAGACCTTTTCGCAGAGTTACGGTAGGTACATGGCAGCGGGTAAAAATCATGAACCTGCCTGAAACCCTTGGCAGAAAATTATCAAAAGTGCTGTTTCAGAATTATCGTGCTCAATCCCCACGATAAAGGAAATTCGTGTGGTATAAAAGTTTCCCACAACCGTAACGCTTTCGCTTATAGGACCACTGCCGCGCGCGAGATACCCTTCGACGGCTTTTGCCTAAGCAAGAACAGGGGGAGGGAGATTTGCCGCGTGCGTTACGCGTTGGGACAGGTTATCAGGATGGCGCTGGAGACCGCCATGCAAAACGACCGTTTCCCCATTTCGTGAATATCCGGGATCTAAATTGGCCCGAAAGCATGTCCATTCAAATCCTGCAACTCACCTAACTTCACTAATGCGTTATGACAGCGAGCAGGCATCATATTCATAAGCGATATACTTGTGAACCGTTGCAGGTAAGGTTTTGAGCAAACCTGGAACTTCGACCCATCTACTCAGATAATCGCCGGGGGCAGGCGGTCCGCGAACTCGCGCTTTTCTGCAGGCGGTCAGCAGAATTTTGGGGCGTGGCCAAACCTTCAGCGGGCGGCACTTCCTTTACGGTCGCATATTCTGCCAGAGGGCAGCAATACAGCATTTTTTTGCAAGCGCTCGGCAAATAATTTCTTTCAGCGAGCGCTGGCCAAACTTTCAGCAAGCGCTCGGACTCTTTTGAGGCATTTTCGGGCGTACGTCGAGCGCAGGTAAGACTCTGTGTGGCAGAGGTGTCACCGTTGGTTTAATTACTCAAGTTTGAGGTACTTTCTCTCAGCGGAAAGTACCTGGGGGTTGCGCGGTCCTCCACCAAGGACCGTGCGGCCCTCGAAATTTTTGCATATTTTCGCGGAAAGTTTGCGAGAATGCGGCCACTGCGCCGCAGCTAATCCATAAATAAACCGCGATTGTTCTTCAAGCATTCGTCTTTGATTTCGCCAACTTTCTTCCAAATTTCTGCAAGCGGGCCGCAAAAAATCAACGAACTATTTTTCCGGTGCGCGCTTGCTCAAAATTCGCATGGCCGCCTGCCCCCGGCGGTTATCTGAGTACATCCACCGTAACCCAAGAAAATGCACTATCCTTCGAAATCTATTCATTTCAGCGCCCCAAATGACCACCCTAGACGAAGTTTAAAGGAAATCTATGTATTCGACCCCATGCCATATAACCACCACAACTCCATGGAAAGGTCCCATATGCAGAGAAAGAGATGATATTCGTAATCAGCATGTCGAATAAGTTCTCTGGACCAATCCAGCCGATTTCATTAGTTTGACTTCTTACCGCACACCTATCGTAACCACACGGGAAGACGTTCTGCGGAGAAAGTGTGATATCTGTAATCAGCATGTAAAGGGCCGTGCATACTTCACGCGATTTCAGTCGCGACGCAAATTGGCAATTCGCCAGAAGTTTTTGGATCCAACATTAGCAAACTGCACATGCATAGTGTGTATAACTTACGTAAACTGATGAAATGTCCTATCTTCTGTACATTTATAATGTGCTTACAATGAGTTATGGACACTTGATTGCCAAATCGCGTCTCGATTGAAATCGCTTGAAGTATGCCCGCCCTTAAAGGCAGTGTCTCACCAAAGTTGAGGTCGCGCGGATTTTCACATATTCTATTATAGGGACCTCTAAATAGGCCATTGCAACAAGTCCCACTTAATTTGACCCCCTCCACGCTGAGAAAAATTCGCTCAAAGTGGTACGCGGAGAGCGAGTTGGTACGCGCGGACGCCTCCTTTGATCTCCCCCCTTACGCGTTTGAACATGTCCCTCCACTTGGCATCCACCTCCCCTGTGTTGTTGCCACTGTGGCTGAGGCTGAAGTTGGAAGGTACAACTCGTCCACATTGCTTCCGCGGGGCCTCCGAAAAACAGGGTTTTTGGGAACTTCGTGCGATTTTAGGCCCATACAATGCTAGACAGGGTCCGACAGGCGTGCAAAATGCAAAAAACTCGGCAACTAAATTTTGGTGAGACACTGCCTTTAAGATAACCCTTATGCACGAAGTTTGAGCAAGCTCTACGATAAAAAAAATCTTGGGGCCCGGATAGTCGAATAACGCCAAGCTAATATCGAACTCGTAATCGGCATGCTCGATCACCCCCCTGTGGCAACTCCCAGCCCCGTAGCCCAAACTTTGCAAAAAAATCGATAAAATAGATAAAAGTAATGGACGATTTCAAAAACTAATATTGTATTCGTAATCAGCATGCTCACTTACCCCCCTGTGCCAACTCCCAGCCCCGCAGGTGAACTCTGCAAAATAATCGATAAAGTCGATGAAATCGATATCGATCGATGACGAAAAGTAGCCTATGACACCCGCCGGGAAAGTGTATGTGTGCTAAGTTTGGTAAGGATCGGTTCGAAAATGGAATTTTCTATTCGGAACATACGTACACACAGACAGACGTACAGACATACAGCTCAGATAATCGCCGGGGGCAGGCGGCCATGCGAATTTTGAGCAAGCGCACACCGGAAAAATAGTTCGTTGATTTTTTGCCGCCCGCTTGCAGAAATTTGGAAGAAAATTGGCGAAATTAAAGACGAATGCTTGAAGAACAGTCGCGGTTTCTTTATGGATTACCTGCGGCGCAGTGGCCGCATTCTCGCGGACTTTCCGCGAGAATATGCAAAAATTTCGGGAACCGCACGGTCCTTTGTGGAGGACCGCGCAACCCCCAGGTACTTTCCGCTGGGAGAAAGTACCTCAAACTTGAGTAATTAGACCAACGGTGACACTTCTGCCACACAGAGTCTTACTTGCGCTCGACGTACGCCCGAAAATGCCTAAAAAGAGTCCGAGCGCTTGCTGAAAGTTTGGCCAGCGCTCGCTGAAAAAAAATATTTGCCGAGCGCTTGCAAAAAATGCTGTATTGACACGGAAGTACCGCTCGCTGAAGGTTTGGCCACGCCCCAAAATTTTGCTGACCGCTTGCAGAAAAAAGCGAGTTTGCAGACCGCCTGCCCCCGGCGATTATCTGAGAGGCAGACATACAAACAGACATTCAGCTTTATATACAGTGACCGCCAAAAAGTTGCGGACAAACCCCTCTCCCCTTTTTCAGCGCTCTTTTTCAGAGGGAAAACAAGGATGAAAAAATGTAATAATTGCATGAGGTGATAGAGCTCTTCAAGATCTGCAATCTACACTTAGAGTTTTTTTGAGAAACATGTGTCCTAAAATTTTTAAGAATCTTTTTCTAAAAAATGTCCGAAAATGGCCGCGTCACAATGCCGCGGACAATAATTCTTCGAACGCAAATTTTCTTTTGAGTCCTATTTTAAAGCGGAAACACAAGTTATCCGGACGGGTAAACACACTACTATACAGAGCTCGTCAAGAGCTACACACTGGTTATGGTTGCTTCCTCAAAAAACGCAAGCTTGAGTTTTATTTTACTTTTCTCAAAAAACAACTTCTAATTTCCTTTCTTTAAGCTAAATTTCTTCGCATGAAAACCTATTCAAGACATTCCAACAAAGCTATTCGGACAAAATGGATGCTCTTTGCCATCCTCTATGCATCGGTGTGCTGATGAGTTTCTTGGCTGAAAATGGCCCTTGGCAGTGCTTGCACATGACCCCACCTGCACCTCACTACTGACTTGTACCGCTTTGCAGGCTTATAACTCGGCCGCCAGACGGTATAAGAGTCTGCAAGTAGACTCATTCGAAAGAGCGTGAGTTCCTGGACATGATGATATGCACATGAGTTGAGTTTGAAAAATTTTAGAGATTTGGCGGATGGGGTGGAAAGCTCATTTAGGTCTCTATCAATCTTTTTTTTTCACAGCAAAACGAGTGTTTTTGTTGTTATCGGTTTTTTATCTTGTTTATTATTACCCTAATTTCACGCGTACAAGGCGCGGGGTGGTCCTAGCTTTCATCGAGCTGCTCAGCCGCCCCAACGTGTTTTAAGAAGCGATCCTTATGCCGCACGATTCGTCAGGCAAAACGCAACGTATGGGGTTCCTTTGGTTGCGAAGTCCTTTGCCGTGTTTGGGCTGGTCGATGAAAGCTGGGACCACCCCGCGCCTTGTACGCGTGAAATTAGGTTAACTTTGGTTTATCTTGTATGCCTACCTGTTCCCGTTTAATCTTACTTCAATCTCCATGTCACTTAATTGTGTGATTGCCTCGATTCCATTGCTCGATTTATAACATTACTCTCAGCACTTGTGTTTGTTACTTTATAGGTACGAATAAGTAGTATTATTCTATTGTTCCATTTTTTTCAACAACAAAAAAAACTAGTTCAGAGTGTGCCGAGAACTGGTTCGGGTGGGGTTAAGGGGTATGATAGGAATTTAAAGTTTGATTAGTGCTGGTTATAGTATGCCAAGCTCAATTAAGGCTAGTTACAGTATGCCAAGCTCAAGGGCTAGCTATGACAAGTGTGGAACGAGCAGGACTTCCAGGAATCTCAATTTTTGGATGGTCCTTAATATGCAAAGTGCCGGGTTTCTTGAGTTACCTTCTCGGGGACTTCCGGGGCCCAAATTTCGGTGGTGTCCGGGGGACGAGTCGGATACCCACCGGAAGTGGGGGGGGGGGGGGAGGGAGAGACCCGGAGGCCTCCGAAATTCCTTCCGGAACCCCAAAACCGATTGTTTGGGTTTTGAGCGAAATTTACGTACCAAATTACGCACATGAAATTTCACCATTACCCTTCAAATCGAACAGGCTTTACAAACAGCAGGATGGCGGAGACCTGATTGATTGCCCGAGGTACTCTGACCGCCCGACTCTTGGAGTGCCTGTTATTTGTTGATGGAGGCGGGTGTGCTATGTTGACTCCACAGAACATCAATTCTCTAACAATAGCTTGTCTCATTGCTTTGTGGAACAATCAGCTGTTGGTCACTCCATTTGTTTGATATGGAGATAGCAGCGGTGAGAGCAAAAAACCCTTTCGATAAAATATAATTCGATGACTAGTCAACAATCAGTTAACGTTCTTTCGGCCTGTAGAGCAGCATTTTTAGATGCCGTTGGATATCTTATTTGCCCCGCTCATTCCATGCTTACTAATTACAGTGATACTATTATGGGAAACATTTCGTCCTCGGGAGGAAAATTGTGAGTCAGTGCATTAATTCAAACGCGTGTTCGACACCCCGCCCGCTATAATTCTGAGGGTTGATGATAGCTGTTTCTTGCAACTCTCGATCTGCGAATACACTCTTTGATTCAACCAAGTTGGCGGCTGGAAGGCGACCGCTCGCACATGCAACGCGCACTGCGTCTTTCTCGCGAGCGTGCTCTCTGATTATTCCCTCGTCTTAGTTAGGTCTCCAAGCCCCGCCCTCCAGCCGCCAATCTCGTTGAATGAAAGGGTGCATATCAGAAATGCGGCTCAATTTAGAATAATATCACTTTGGAGGCAGAGTCTGGACGAGCTGAAAGGGAGGAGTGGGAAGGCGTGGGCAGTGGTTTCTTATCTTAAAGCTTTACAATTCTGAACGCTTGCCCATTTATCAGCTGTTTTTGATGTTATATCAATCACTACGATATCTTCAACGTTGACCGATTACTGTTCCCAGATTGCTAAGTATGCTGCTGGTAGATAGAAATGTGTTATCGACATAATGACCAGATCCTGGGTCCGCTCTGGTCGCCCAAGACTGATATTCTCAAAATTCTAATAAGTTGTTTATTCTTCTTTGAGCACCTTTAGATAACCAGCACGCTTTGCAGCTGGCCCCATCTGAAGTGAAATCTTGCTCGTGTTCACTGTGTACTATTTTTACATTGTTTTTCATTCCTTGATGGAACGCCTAGACGTATTTTTGCTGTGCCTCTGCAAATATGATAGTTGTTTGGAGAAAAATAATTGGGAAAAGAAAAAAAAAGAAAAAGCAAAAAAACCAAAAAATTTGTGAAAAACGTCGTTTTTTTGAAATATCCGTTGGATGATTTTTGAAAAAAAATTGCGACGGACCACGAACATCATAATGCTTTACGTAAATACTGATTCAAATTTTTAATGATGAGGATGTTTCTGAAAAGTGGAACGGGACGGATTTCTTGCAAACTGTGGTTTTCCAAACTTTTCATCATTTTCATTCCATTCAAGAGTGTGCAAGCTAATTTATGAATTACTGCCAGCTATCGTCGTCTCCCCAGCGTATGTTGGGCGGAGCTTTTGCGGACATTTCAACGCGTTGGTGAATTTGTTGACCCTCTACTGCAAGACAATGTTTTCTGTGATCTCTCGCTACCAACACTGCCACGTGTGACAACAGCATGTATACGTGGCAAATTAGAGAGTACAAAAAACCACACTTTGCAGTAGAAGCTTGACAAGTTCACCAACGTGTTAAAATGTCCGCAAAAGCTCCGCCCAACGTACGCCGGGAAGACGACGATAGCAAAAAGCCCTTAAAACACTACCACAAAGCGCAAGCCTTCTATTCTTAATGAGTAATTTATGGTTTTGATTTAAAGTTTGATAAGTTATTGAACTTTATCTGACTCACCAAAAAACTTTCGTTTCAGTCCAATATTTTGAAAGCGAAAGTTGCAGCTTTTGAGTATTGCTTTTAATGGATCGAATGACCGTATTTTTAGGAGTATTCGCTAGTCTTCTTTATGCATGGGTGCTCAGAAGCTTGTCACCTCTATAGAAGCCACACTGAGTCATCTCCAAGGTGTACCAAAAGATAACCAAGGTGGTAGGGTCTTAGGCTTGATACATACCTGACGATGGGTCGCCATAGCTGACGATAAGGCGCTGCCAGCAGCAACGCCTTTTGTGCGTATTGATTGACGCCGGGCGACGCCACTGCTCCCCGCTGCTGCAGCGAACGAGAAACAGACCCGCCATAGCTAGCGATGCTGCGCTGCTGCTTGTTGCTCATAGCTGCTACGCGCTGCTCCTTGCTGCTCTGCTATTTGAAGCTCACTTTTTGTGAGCTTTTCTCAGCTGCTCTTGCTGCTATCGGCGTATTTTCACTAGATCTTCCCTCATTTTGCTCGTTTTCATCCATTTTTGATCATTTTTTCGTATTTTTTCGTATTTATGCCTGGAACAATTCAATAGCACCGCTCCTAGCCCCTACTTTTCTACACTTTTACCGAGTTATTTCGCTCACCATGCTTTTTCTTTTGATTTCGTGAACGCAAATTCTTTATTTGAAGTTTTTCTTTTGTTATTTGTGACCATATGCATTGTTCATTTGGTTTTTTTTGTTTTCTATCCCCTCCTTACCCTACCGATGAGCCTCGGGGAGGGTTTTTGTGCTGTATTCATTCTGTTTTTGCCTGTCTAGGGTTCAGAGGCGAAACAGGGAACTTTGGTTCCCTATTTTGTTTCTTTCCTGCATTCTTCGTCATTGCTAATATATTTTATGCTGTGTACGTAATTTTTTTTTCAGAGTCATGACTTCTCACAACATTCAAGCTCTACAAAATGTACTTCTTGCTTTGGAAACGATGGAGGAAATGATGGATTACGAGGAAAGCGTATCAAAAGCAAGAGCATATGTCCGGGAGGAGCATGTTCCCTTCCTTGAATCACGCTTTCGGAACTTGGACTCCTACATCGCTTCCCACAATCCGGATAACTTCGCTCATTTCACACGACTATTCCTTTCTGAATTCCAAGATCTCCATGAGAGACTTGGCCCCTATTTGCAACATGAGCCATTTCATGTTGCACCAATCAGTGCCCAACGGAGGCTTTTCGTCTATTTGAGGTATGTTACTGGAATACCACTGTTTAGTTCTTATTTTGTTAGTACTCATGCTATAGCATATTAGATTTGTTGGACACGGCTACGCATATGGAGCTCTAGCAGAAGAGCTCAACATAGGAAGGCAGACCTGTCTGATATCGTCTCCGAAGTCACGGATGCCGTCAATACGGGTAAAATCACCTAAAAATGATAAGCTTCGTTCATTTCTCTACACCACGCTTATTAGTTCTATTCGCCGATGCATTCCCAACGCCCATCCGTCAAGCACTTGAAGACTGTGCCATGAAAACACAGCAGCGTTATGATTATCCACGCGCTGTGGATTTCATGGACGGCAAACACGTAGGATTAAGAGTTCGTTATCATTCATCAGATTCATTCCGCACCTATATAGACGACCGATCTTACTTTAAGAAGCCGAAAAATGCGGGCAGCACGTATTGGAACTACAAAGGCTTCCACTCCATCATCCTCCTTGCTGTTTGCGACTGCGGCTACCGTTTCACAGCCATCGACATTGTGCACCAGGACGAGCTGGAGACGCGGGAGTGTTCCGGAATTCGGACATCAAGACGTTCTACGAAGTTCGGGATGACATATTCCCGGAAACAGAAGAGCTCAACGATGTTGGACCAGTGCAGTACCACATTCTGGTCGACGGTGGTTTCGCGCAGAGCCACCGATACATCAGACCGTTTCCGGAACCAATGGCGACAACAGCTAGCAAACGTCGCAATGAGAGACTCAGCGGGTAGACTACTGCAAATTCCTATCATTGAATCCAATCAGATTATAATACATTATAGGGCAAGGAGGATCATCGAATCATCATTCGGAATACTTTGCAAGAGGTTCGCCATTTTGCAACGAGATCTACAAGTCGAACCAGAAAAGGGCTCTGAAACTAATCACATCACTATTGGTATGTCTTAACTCAGCTTTTTTCACCTATCAGATCAATAAAAATTTCATTTAAGGTCCTCCACAACCTTCTCGCACGAAGGCAAGATCTCCTGGAGGGAGTAGAACGATTCGCGCCAGCAAGGAACTCGCCTTTACCAGACCGCTTTGCTTCACTACAACGAACTGCTCGGCATGCCGGTTCAGATTCGGCAAAAATAGCAAGAGATCGTCTTGTATCGTACTATGATAATTTGTATAGAACTCCACAATAAACATTCAAAATTTTTATTAACTACTAAGCAATGGTACAAGATCTATCAAATAGAGCAAATTCTGGCATACATCACAAAATAGAACATAACAATACAAAATATACACATATACATGACTAAGTATATGAATCTCTATTAACTATCAAATAAAGCAAATCTCTGGCATATATCACAAAATAGAACATAACGATAAAAATATACACATATACATGACCAAGTATATGAAAAACTATAAAATATATGTACCATCTTCTAATCGATCAACATACTACTGGCTCAAAGTATTGGTCATCAAACTCATTTTCCCTACGGCAACATTGTCTGGCAGGCTTTTCAGATACGTTGTGACGAACTGCCCTGTAATAGAAAAATAAAAATATAATCAAAGCTTGTCAAAAACCTAGACTTCTTACCGTACTGCTCGAATTTGCATGGCGGCCTTTGCTTCTCGACTTTCAGGGCGGACATTCGGGCTTTGACGGCATCCGCAGCCTCTTGCAGGAAGTTTCGAGCTATTATAATCACAAAATTCACGAACAGTAAGTAGAAATTAGATTATATGTGATAAGTCCATTACTAACCTTGCAGAGGCGCCCTCTTTTTCTTCATGGACGGGGTCCGCAGCAGCTTCCGAGATGGAGAGCGTGACGGAGAGCGTGCTTCTACCAGCGACTCCTCACTGGTTGCTGGTGAGGGAGTGCTCTCCATCTCCATCTCCACGTCGTCCACGTTTTCCTTCTCCTGCGACGACGAGTATGCGGACGTGGACGACGTGCCGCTGCTTGTCAGGTTGGAAATACGAGCACTGTGACACAATACAATTAAAAAAACAAAAGAAAGATGCATATGTTTGAAAAATATACGGAAACTTACACCGTGGTTTCGCAGGTGTCCAAAAATCATAGATGTTTCATGTAAACCCACGGTTGCGCGGTTGCAGACCCCGTCCTGGCGGTCTTGTGCTTCCTGTATGTGTCCCGTAATGATTTCCACATTCTTTTTGCATCAGCGACTGAAATAGAAAAAATTACAAGATTTGCCCCAAAAGGTATTGGGACTTTGAAAGAGAACTTACCCGGGCATTCATGGCTCCTGCTCCTCATTTTCTGGGAGATTTCAAGCCATGCAAAATTTTTCCTTTCCGCAACGCGGTAGTCATCACAACTAACGTTCCAAATTGCCCCTTGCTCCTCAACTAAAGTGATTAAGTCGATCTTCAGATCGTGGACCATTCTATCTTAAAAAAATCTAGTTTAAACGATGATAGTAGACAGCAAAATCGAGAAAAAACATAATATGAACGAAATTGAGATCCACGAGGAACGAGCATCCAAAGAAATGAACAAGAGATGAACAATCAGAGGTGCATTAACCTTAAAAACCAATCTAATGTGTTAAAAAGGTCTGCAAGTAACTTGTCGCGCCCTAATTACTCGCAGCGCGTGTATTCGCGGCCTGCGTGTGCGACAATGAAATCGCTGCTAGCAGCACGAGCAGCGAAGACAGCGGCGATTCGCCACCACCCGCCATACCTCCATCGTCAGGTATGTAAGAAGCCTCAAAGGCAGCGTCCAGGCGTCTGGACATATGGGGATCTCACAGGTCAGTAATTTTGGGACCTTAACTAGACACTGCTTAACCGGGAGTTCAGATGGTGTTCTAACGGCTGAGATATTTGTCTCCAAACTGGACCCCAAGTCGTATTTCGCATGGATTCATGGCGCGACATATCAGTTCCGTGTGGGCCCACGCGCGAAAGCATGCAAACACGATGCATGCATACATCGTATTATTCGACGACTTGCAAGTCGTCGGACGATCCTGAGAATCAGTTCGGAGGCGTATATCTCAGCCGTTAATGAGTCATTTACGCTGCCGCTTGGATAGTGCCTTAGTCAGGGCCCGAAATCAGTTTCCACGTAAAATCCCATAAATCCAGATTTGCCTGGACGTTGCCTCTAAGCGAATTGTAGCCGATTTGAAGAATTTGAAGAAATGGATTCTTTTGTGTCCAATGTTGCGTTGCGTTGACGTTCGTCAATGTTGCGGGATATTGAAAATTTGCTCTATAGGAATCGGAAAACTGTCCCTCAAAAAAGATTTGAAAAATCAGCGTAATACACAGGTTTTTCTGGAAAATTTGGCATAATTCGCAAGATGCGGATATATTCTAGCATTTTACAAAAATTGGCTTCAAAATTCTGCAATTTTACCCGGCGGCGGATCCCTTTTTGCTGCGCATCTCATATTAAATCTTGCAACTCCCCTTTACAAATGTGAAGAATTTTGAGGATTTTTGGGAAATTTTTTTGTTTGTCAGGCGAACTTGAGAAATTTCCTACTGCCAAAGGAATGTGGTAGTGGATCTCCAAATATTCTGAAAGTATCCAGTCCGCAGTTGAACTAGGAGAAAAGTTGTGAATTTTTTCTAACGAGTAAGTGGCTGCGGAGCAACAGAGTGCGATCAGAAAACGTGGCACAGAGACTAAGTATAACCATTTATCGCTCCAAAATCGTGATGTAGAAAATCCGATGCTGCTTTCATTATTCTCGTTAGTTTTTGTGGAAACCTAAAATTTCGAAACATAGTTTGAATCCAATTCATTAGCATTAGCATTAGTCCTGACTCGCCTCTCGAGAATTTTTGCGATGCTGTCGGAGCATCGTTAATGTTCTTGCGCGCTGTTATCGCTCCTTTAAACGAACAGAAGGGAACAATTTTAAATCAAACTTATCTTTATCTAACCTCAAGGATCTCGCCTGCGTATGGGAATCAAAAAACTACAAATTTGCTTTATGTTTGGGGTATTTCAGGGGCCAAGCTGGAAGGACAGTACTTTTTCCGCACCCTATATAACATCACCTCCCCTTTTTTCCACTCGCATCAAATTGATAGTGCGCTGCGAGCGCCCCTATAGCAGCATGATTAAACTGCTACTGATTTTTCTGGGGTCATCGCCTTCCCACCGTAATTCGAGAAAGCTCCAGCTTCTGCTGAAGTCGTGAAAATCACTTGTTAACGGTCGAGAAAACTAATATTTTCATTGCAGTTGTTTACAAGTTAACACATTCACGACAAGGCCGATTTTTCGATTACTGCCGTTTCGGACCAGAGCCTTTTTTGCTTTGTCAAAGTTACGACCCACCCGTGGGCGTATTGTCCGAAATGGTAGTCTTTTTAGAAGAAATTAAACATGTCTCCGAGAATCTCTCCACAAGGGTATCGAAGGCGCTGATTACCAAAATATGATTTACCGGTGCGTCACCTCTGCTTTGCAGAGGTTCGCATTGGCCCTACTATCTGTATGCGTTACTCATTCTCGTAATAATGACATTGATACTTACCGCGCTATGCAGACTATCACGATAGATTTGTAAACAACTACTCATTCCTAAGACTTTTTCATGCGAGATCGGTAATTTCGCTTGGATGAAACTTCTCCCAAAAGAACAAACGCAGATTTGAATCGGTTTTTGGACTTTTCATGGCTTGCTTTTTGCCATAAGATACAGTAATCACTGTTAGCCACATCTCCATGCAAAAACCCTCTCGAATTATCGGGTAAAATCTTGGCAAATTGAACATTTACGCAACAAATATATTTTGGCGCCGTTTTCGCAAAGTAATAAACTTTAGTTCAATTTTTTAGGCTAAAGCCCATGGCTTGCAGACTAACTTGTCAAACATATCCGTGACTTTGCAAAAGATCTTGCTAAAGGCTCAATTCAACTGACCAAAAGCCAAGTGGATCCGTCTGACGTGTGATTTTTACAGGATCCACTGAACGGATCCGCTCAAGCTTTGGTATATTGGACTCTCATGTTGCTAGCATGCGCTGTGCAAAATTTGGGCTTAAGATGTTGGCTGGTAACCGTCTCACGAATTTCGTGACAGACAGACAGACTTACACACATCCACACAAAAACACGTAAACATCCTTAGCCCATTATTATAAGTAACCAGTGCGTCACCTCTGCTTCGCAGAGGTTCGCACTGGCTCTACTATCGTGTGCCTTCCTCAATTGCATTATAATGACTTTGAAACTCACCACACAATGCTAAACATCACAAATGGATTGTAAACAATTGCTCATTCTCGAAACTTTTCCACATAAGATCGGTGATTTTGGGAGCAAAAAAATTTTCTCCGAAAGGATAAAAGCAAATTTGAATTATTTTCTGTTCACAACGGCTTGATAACTGCTATAAGTGCACTAAACAGTGTGAGCTACATGCCTGAGCAAAAATCTCCTCAATTTTTTAGATAACACCTTGACAAATCGACTCAAAGGCTATCATTCTTCTTTGGCGTCGTTTTTGCGGAGGAATGGATTTTTTGACCCCTTTTTAACCTAGAACTTGTGGTCTGCAAACCTGCTTTCCAAATATATCCACAAACATTGCAAAACTCTGAATACCGACTCTGTATTGCGATTTGAATGCCGGTGGACCCGTTAGATGTGCAAATTTTGAGGGATACGTTGATCGGATCAACTCGCCTTTGTGCGCAGTGAATCTATATGCTGGGTGCATATTGTGTGCAAAAAATTGGCTTAAGACCTTGGCTGTAGCTCGCTCCATGAATTTCGTGACAGACAGAGATTCAGACACACACACACACACAAACGTAAACAACCCTTAGCCCGTTATTATAAGTTACCAGTGCGTCACCTCTGCTTCGCAGAGGCTCGCACTGGCCCTATTTTCTGTATGCGTTATTCATTCCCGCATAATAATGACATTGAAACTCACCGCGCTATGTAGGCTTAGGCTATCACGAATAATTCGTAAACAACTACTCATTCGTAGGGGTTTTCCATGTGAGGTCGGTATTTTCGCATGGATAAAATCTTTCTTAGAAGAACAGATGCAAATTCGAATAGGCTTTTGGAATTTTTATGGATTGGTAGTCGCCGTAAGGACAATAAACATAGTGGGCTACACCTCTGTGCGAAAATCTTCTCAAATAATCAGGTAAAATCCTGAAAAATTGACCATCGAGCAATCAATACTTTTCGGCGTCGTTTTTGTAAAGTAGTAGACTTTTGATCCCTTTTTCGGAGCAAAGCCCATGGCTTGCACACTGAGATGCTAAGCACATCCACGACTCTGCAAAAAGTGGTGAAAGTATGAAAGTGGATGATGATGCTTCGCAGAGGATCGCACTGGTCCTACTCTATAGTTTTTGAGCAATATCTCCTCTTAAGAAAGGCAAAGTGTAGTACGTCCACAGCAGGTACTGGCTCTATGCACCCCATGAATATGGTGCCGTGCGGGTCTGCGCGTCCATGCTTGTCCTCAGAGCTAAACAGCGCCCTGCCTCATCTCTCAAATTGCTTTAAACCTCCCCGAAAAATTCTGATCGGGAAGAATATGATGTAAACAACCATTCATTCTGCGAGGTTTTCATGTGAAACCGGTAAAATTAGCGTGGCAAAACTTTTTGGTGAACGGTTAGTGTAATTTTGAATCCGTTCTATCAATGCGATGTTGGCTAATTAGAACAACAACAGATGCACGCTACATTCCCAGCCTAGAATATTTCCAACTATACAGTGAGTGTTTTGAAAATGAACAGTTGAGTCATCTCTTTTTGACGCCACTTTTGCACGAAATTAACTTTTTGCTATGTATCTGCGATGAATTCCAGGGCTTAGAAGATGTCCAACTTAAAAGTCTTACAGTTACTGCAGACTCCTTGCATTAGGATCTCATTTTTGCCTTAGCAAATGCCTGGTGGATCCGTTTGACTCGCGATTTTCAACCGAAACAGATTCGCTCACTTCTTTACATAATCAACCTGGGTGCTGCTGGCGTGCTATAGCCAAAAAATCAGCTCGAAATCTTGGCTGCAGCTTGCGCTACGAATTACACTGATTCGCAGAGGCTCGCTGTGTCCTACTCTGTACGCCTTACTCATTCATGCCTTGTGATGGCATTGAAACTCACCGGACGATGCCGAATATCACGAATAAAATGTAAACAACTACTCATTCCAAAAGCTTTTCCATGTGAGAACGGTAATTTTGAGAGGATGAAATTTTTCGCAGAAAAACAGATGCAAATTTGAATAGGTTCTTGAACTTTTTTCTGGCTAGGTACTTGCTATAAGGACAATAACACTCTGAGCCACATCTTTGTGCAAAAATCTTCTCAAATGCTCAAGTAAAACCTTGGCAAATCGACCATCGAGCAATCAATACTTTTCGGCGTCGTTTTTGTAAAGTAGTAGACTTTTGATCCCTTTTTTGGAGCAAAGCCCATGGCTTGCACATTGAGATGCTAAGCACATCCACGACTTTGCAAAAAGTGGTGATATGTATCCGATATGCGGGCCGAAAGCCAATTGGACCCGGCTGACGCGCAATTTCTGAGGGATCCACTCAACAAATCCGCTCGAGCTTTCGCATGGTGGACTTTTATACTGGTAGCATGCGCTATGCAAGATTTGGACGCAGGACGTTGGCTGGAACTCGCGCTATGAATTTCGTGACAGACAGACATTCAGACACACACACACAAAAAAACGTAAACACCCTTAGCGCGTTATTATAGTAGGATGATTTTAGTTTTTGGAAGTATACTCATTCTGTACGAACTCAGCATCATGGATTTTCATGCAATTGCGTTTTGGGGTTATTTCTCGTGCTGATCACGATTACAGTGTCCACTTTGTTCACTACTTTCCCACAGTGGGACTACGGTAGCAGTACGATAGAATTTTCGTAGAAATCAAGAAACTGATGTAAGAAGGTGGTATCAAAACTTGAGACTATCATTTTCGTAATCACATGCTAAAAACCTATATATGTAAATTTTGAGCTTCCTGGGATGAACAATGCGAAAAATCAATAAAGTCAATAAATCAATAATTTTTGATAGGCTGACATCACTCTCGTGCCCTTCCTGTATTTCTCGTGCATGTAAACTTGAATTTTGAAAAACAGCACCACTCTGCGAAAAATTTGAGCTAAAGCCTGTGCCTTACCTCTACCTAAGGCATACCTACCGTAACATTACATAACAATATCCCGAACCAGGACCACTCTGGCTGGAGCTTCGCCAAGGTCTCGCCAACCATGTGCCGGGACCCCGTGGAATTCCATCGTATACTGGCAATGCTAGAGCTTCAAGAATCTTATAACCCACCGGTGGCTCGTATTGTTCGAAACGGTAGAACCTGCACGACCCACCGATGGGTCGTATTGGCGTGAATGTGTTAAGCAGCATTGCTGGTTTTATAGACACACTTTCAGTTAATTGTATTTTTAGCTTAAATCAGCTATACCGTTACAGCGGTTTATCTAATGATCATTAATTGTATCTATATCACATACACTCTTCTACAAACATGTATAAGGCTTTTTACCCTGATTTTACGTGTACAAGATACACCTCATTTTTTTCCAAACTCGACCAGCCTGAACAAACCAAAAAACTTCGCAACCAAAGAACCCTATGCCGTGCTGCGTATTGCCTGAGGCTATCGTTCGGCATAAGAGTCGTCTTCCGAAACACAACGACGCGGCTGAGCGGCTCGCTTAAAAAATCGAAAAAGGCGCGTTTTGTACTCATGGAATGGTAATAAAATTAGCGGACCTAAAAATTATACTTCCAGAATTTTACTAAAATCGCAGTAGTTTTACAATGACGAGTTTGCGGAACTCCTGAGGTCACTGTAATGAAAGGAGACGAGGGCGTTCTGTACTCAAGTATATGCTGCAACCAACTCTGCACTCCAAGACCTAAAATTCTATGTAAGCTTTGCACGCAAGAGAGATAACGATTGAATGGAAATGCTAAGGTTGATGAAACAGCTGATGCCAGCTTATCATGTGGAGTTTTAGAACTTAGTTTCGTGATAAAAACGAGAATACATTTTCTAACATACACTAGCGTAATAGCGCACCATAAGCGGCGTACAAGTAATGAGGACATTTTAGACGAAGTTGTGGAAGATCCACTGGCTTGGCCTTCATTTCGGCTTGACTACGTCACATTTTTCGCAAATAGAAGCTGATTGGCTCCGATGATATTGATGAACCGCAGAAAAATAAAATGTTTGGAAATGCAAGGATTTACTTATATCTCCGCATGAATCGAGCATTAAGCTATTATGCTAGAAAGAAATTGGTCGTTTTCGTATTGAAAACGATATTTCTAAAGATTTCATGAATGTGAGAGAGTGAAGGTGCATAATTGTACTCTTACATGGCGTAAGGCCTAAGGCATACCTCTCGCGATTTAGCGAAATCGCCACATCCCTGCGACTTGGCGATTTGCCAGATGTCTAGAGATTAAGCATGCGAGGCTCTCAGATGCATGGGTGGTAGAATTCGTAAATTGTAATAAACGCAGCAAGTCTGGCCCAAGCAAAGTGCGTTTACGACCAGCTATGAAGAGTCGTTGCAGTGCTAAATCGCGCATCGACTGAAATTAGGCCTAAGGCATACCTCACGCGATTGGGCCGAATCGCCACTTTCACGCGACTTGGCGATTGCCAGATTTCTACAAATATCGTGCGCGCTTCTCAAACGCATATTTAGGTAGCTTGTGTAAGTTGTTGCAAACGCATCAAGTTCTGACCAAACGCAGCGCATTAGCGACGAATAACGAATAACGAAGAGTCGCTGTTGTTCCAAATCGCGTAGCAATAGGAATCGCGCGCCTTAGGCCTTAGGCCTAATACGCGCGAGGTAGCTGACGACGGAAATTGCCCTTCTTCATATATCTGTGGCAAGGAAAAAAAACAAAAACAAATTTCATACAGCCCGTGTGTATGCATGTACATATCCATTTAAGGCTGCGCACTATCGTAAAGGTTTGTGACTTTTCGGCTATTGCTCCAATGTGCCAACAGGATTGCCCTTCTGCCAGCAGATGTTGTTTGTTATCTGAGGCAATTCTGAGAAGTCTGGAAGGGAATGTTCTCTTCGGTTTGAACTTTTTGGCTTCCTGCGTGAGCAATGTCCGCACTCATACAACTTTCATAATTTTGCAACTAAAACATATATCTATTTTTTGGGTTTTATTATTAGGGTAGGGGAAATTATGTTTTCGCATGTAGTACCTTCAATCCTTTTTTGCATCAATGACTGCAAGCAGCTTGCTGCCTTTTTATAGGATATGCTTGCTTCTACCAAATGCAAAGTCGTTTCGTCAGTACATAAGTGCAGAGTTATAAAAGATTTTGTCACTACATAACTGCAGACTTGAAAAAGATTTCTTCTCCAAATCAGATGTATTTGTTTGCTAGAAACAAGTAATACACCACCGTCTAACCTTTATTTCGACAATTATCCTTCGTTGCTTCACAGTAAAGCGGAATAGATATGGTTAAATCATTTGAAAATACTGTAAGAGACGGAAGTGCTGGGGTTTCTTATAATAATGTAATTGCATAGTATGTCATGTGACCATACACTGAAATTGAGCAATGATTCAAAGATAAGATTTTCGTTTTCTGATTCATCTATTTAGATGTATATAGAGCTAAGTGTTGGTACATTGTTGATTGGTGTGTTATAAAAGCTTTTGTGGATGGACAGATCAGCGCCAAACTCTGCGCGCATATGCTTTCAACGCCGGTCCAACCCGTAGACTGATTTGCGAAAATCCCACTCCTTCTATTGATTCATCGATAATAAAGAAAAATGAACTCTTATTATGTATTATCGAGCCACTACCAACTTTCGTGTAAACAATAGCTGTAGAACTCATTTTCATTCCATGAGGGAGATTCGGTAATTTACAGATACGCGGTCAGCAAGTATTTATTTTTCCTGTGGCATAAAAGAAGAGAAGGAAGCCAAAACGCAGTAAGGTGAACGCGCACCAAATTTGCTCTTTGCTGAGCCAGTGAAACCCACGATGCAAGAGAAGCTAGGAGTACCAGCTAGTTGCATGCTAACCTCTATTACGCTTTATTCATTATCATCGTATTTTCTGTTTATTGATGCTGTTTATTATCGTATGAGACCGATGTTATATCACCTTATTTTCACATGTGCAAGCCGCACTCCGTTTGCTCTAAACGAGTAGATCTGACGCCTCGCTACGCATATGATTTGCAAAGCGGTCGCTCTTCCCTACGGTCTTTTCCGACCCGGAGTAGGCGAACATTCAAGTGGAGCGGCGCGTCCGCATCGCCACTGGCTCAGCCAAGTAGACTAGAATGAAGAGACGCAGACTAAAAAACGGAGCGAATCGTTGCGAAGCGGACTCCTGCCGCATCGCCACTGGCTCAGCCAAGTAGACTAGAATGAAGAGACGCAGACTAAAAAACGGAGCGAATCGTTGCGAAGCGGACTCCTGCCAGTCCAATTCGCCTAAATGGGTTAAAACTTACTATACTATGTCCGCTTTTAACACGCCCCATGGCACGCTAATTCCTTTGGCGCGTTTGCCTTCAGGGCAAACAGGGTGCGGAGTACACGCGAAAATAGGTGGAGATTCGAGAATATAGCTTTGAAAATGCCAAAACCGTTGGCACTTTTTGTTAATTACACGCTTACCTAACAATTCAAGTATACCTTGAACAATAAGCGGAATACCTACTCCAGAGACTGAAATAAGTAACAGTAAGAAAGTTGTACACTTTATAATACCTCTGTAACATACAATCTTTAGACGCCCAATTTATAAATGATGTAATTGCAACGTATCCAGAAACTGCGACTCCTAAGCCCTAAAAAGCCGATGTATATCTTCCTCGGCCGCTTTTCTTGTTCTTTTGTTACCGAACAAATTGCTGCAAAAATCATGACTTTACCACTATGTTTTGCCGTAGCGACATAGCAAACACTAGCTGCAAGAATCTAAAGCGCTTGCATCAATTTCGGAATTCTGCTGGAACTCAAATCACCTTGAACAAGACACTAATGCATGCTGTTAACACTGTTATCTGACCGAAAGCTGCAAAAGCTATGATACACACGATCGATCCTAAGTGGAATCCAACAGCAACTAACATATCTCTCTGAAAGAGTTAATTCAAACTCACATTTATTTGGTTGCAAAATATAGTAATGGGCACTATGACGCATGATAAGGATCACGAGCAGAGTTTATCACCATATTCTCTTGAATCCAACTCCCCTCATTTATCCTCTACTTAAGAATCAGACGAATACTGAACATGGTTTGAAATGGAGTTGCAAGCAAGCTTCTATAAGAGTGATTCCTTTTCTTGCAAAAAATTTCGTATTGCGAATCTATATGGATACAATTAAAGCAGGATCGCACTGCCTTCGAAAAATTTCCAACGGCAAAGACAGCGGAGGCTCTGGTCTATGCTCAGATTGTCGCCGGGGCAGGCGGTCATGCGATGGGCAGGGGGCACCGGGAAAATAGTTCGCTGACGTTGAGACGCAGTGGCCGCATTCCCTTTTCGCAAGAATATGCAAAATTATTGGGGGTCGCGCGGTCCTCTGTGAAGGGCCGCACATCCCGTGGGTACCTTCCGCTAGGAGAAAGTACTCCAAACTCGGGTAATTAAACCATCGACAGCACCTCTGTTAGCCCCATGGCACCTCTCTTAGGTGGAGTGTTACATTTGCTATGCGTATGCAGTGCGTAAAAGGAGTCCGAGCGCCTGCTGAAATTTTGGCCCGCGCTCGCTGAAAGGGATTAATTGACTAGCGCTTGCAGAGAAGTATTGCTACCCGCTGGCAGAACACGGGATTACCGCTCGCTGAAGGTTTGGCCACGTCCCAAAATTTTGCTGGCCGCCTGCAGAAAAGCGCGAGTTTGGGACCGCTTGCCCCCGGCAATTATCTGAGATGTTTCTTCCATTATGCAGACCTAGAAATGCATAAGAAGGCCGAAAACGATAAAAAGGGATACTATTGAAGTCGACTACAAGCTGAGCTTACAGCAATATTCGCGCGCATGATTCACCACAACGCTGAAACCGGCAAATGCTCGCCAAGCACACTCGCAGGCTTCCAACGTATGGCGATATGGACAGTTCTGTGCAGTCAATATTGACTCAGAGGAAATGTCAAAAGTCGAAGTGTCCAATCCAAACAATGCATACCATCCGATGCAGCATACAACGCGGCCTCCAATCTGTCTTCCTTATCTGTTAATAAGGGAAAGATACCAACATAACATTTGATTCAACTGGCTTGGCACCATTAGGGCGGGGTTTTGTGATCTGACTGAGGTCGCTCGCGCCCGCTACGCACCTGCGTCTCTCTTGCGCGAGTGCTCTCTGATCATGACCTAGCCTTAATTAGGTCACGAAGCCCCGCCTTTGCCGAGGTCAAGCCAGTTGAATCAAATGGTAAGTTGGCGATTGAAAACGAGATGTGTATCACTTGACGCGTTCTTGAACGCTAATTCCAAATCTGCTTTCTTTTTTCGGAGCAAGCAAGTTGCCGTTCAATTGTTCATATTCCTCAAGGAGTGGCCTGAGATTAGCGAAAAGCTGTACAAAAACATCTAAAAGTGGGTAATCAATTCTGTAGCAAGTATATCGGTTGCAAGGAAGGAATGTAGCCGTACAATTTTTAGGTGTTTTTCAGAGCTGTTCGCTGATTTTAAGCCACTTGATGCTTGAGAAATTTGAACATTCAACGCTTATAACTCCTTTCGAGTTGTTCCGCAAGAAAGGAAAGCAGATTTGGAACCAGCGATGAGGACACGTCTAGCAACATACAGGTCGTTTTTGATCGCCAACTTATGTTGATATTCTTCCCTTGTAAGGCCTTTGCAAAGGACAGTTTTATGTGAAAACATCTTACATAAAAATTGCGAAAATGCATATCGTTGTCCTTCTGGCCCACCTTTAGGTATGGGCTATATAAAGTAATCTAGCTGCAATTTGGCCTTGCATTGAGCTTAACATAGCTTTGTGAAGCCAAATTTGCGCACGTAAGATTTTCAGCAAAACCATGACTTTAATAGCTTTTAAAATTGTCGACAAAAGTGATTAGCAGACAAGGAAGAAAGATTTAGATTTAGCGTTTCATGCTGCACTTAATGGTATGCAGCTTCTCTGGATTCGCCACTTCGACTTTTGGCCATTCCCTCGTCAGTTGCCAATCAGCTGAAACAAGTCTAGTCATGGCTGCCACAAAACCAAGTGTTGTTGCTGACTGATAAAGCAAAGCAAGCTCTAGAAGAAAGCTAACACACAAGTTGCATAAGATAATACTTTTGAAAAGTTCAAAGCCAAAATCGAAAGACTTTTGAGCAAGCCAACAATCGAGTTTTGGCTCGGAGAATCAAACCTTATATACAACGCAGCAGACATTCATCTTTACACTTGCGTGACCTTGATTGCTAGAAAAAAAAGAAAAAAGCCTACAGTGGCAAAAAGCCTGAGTTCCTCTCACAGATGTGGTTTTACGCCATATTTTTAAACCACAGCTGAAGAATCACACTACATATACTTCCATAGTCAAGAAATAAGAGATTTAGTATAGAGATCCGGAAAAGAGATAATTCGAGTTTCGTTCGTACTTGATTTTTGATCACTGGAAAATCCAGCATGTTCATTCATGGATCAATATACGTTATTATATGATCACCATGTGGAAAGATCATAAAATTAATTTGAACTAAAACCCAACTTACTAATCTATTTATAGAGCAATTTGAACTTCATGTGGGTTATTTGTGTAGATATTTGTTAGATATCTTATGGAGCTTGCTCCGCTTTAGAACAGTAATTCGAATGACTTATTCGGCTTCACTTTGTCGCGGTAACATAAGGATTGCCGCTATTTACATTACTATCAATTTGCGAAGAAGTTTGCTTTGGCTTTCACTATAAGTCTTATAGAACAAACAGAGAGCTACGGCGTTCTTACGCGTATGCACACCAAAGTTAATATCATACATGCTCGTTTCAGATAAACTGTTTGCTTATTCCAGTCAGGACTTTAAATTTGCGGAAGTAGTGAAATAGCGATAGGCGCCGGTAGACCATGGACCAAGCTTTTCCCTCTCCTATGCCAACCATATCCTCAGCCTTCGAGATGCTAACTTGTACCAGTAGTCTAAAAGGACCAAAAGGAAGGAAGAAAACTCTTACCTGACAGACGTCTGACCCGCAAATCATTGTAATCTCTATATATATAAAACTCAAAAATTGCTTGTTTGGAGAGTATGTGAGTTATAAAAACGCGCACCGCTCAACCGTTTGGGCTGAAAATTTGAACACAGATGTTTTCAACCTGGGGGACGGTTCTAGGCTACTTTTTGCGGCGATTCATTGGGTCCTCCTATCGATTTATGATTTGTTTACGTTTTTCTAAGGAATTGAAGGGTTATCATGTTTAATCAAGCGTTTTGCCATAGTCTTGTAAAGGAGGGCGGTGAAGCTCATTTTCACCTCAGGATCACGAGAATGCGGTCTTAAAGCGGATGTTCCAGGTAAGTTATCCATAACATATATAAGGGGGGGGGGCTCGCAGTGCAGGAGAATAATGGCCCGGTCTGGACCGGGAAAGCCAACGAGTGACTCATATTTTTAACTCTTAACTACGAAGTAGAATGCGTTCGGCGCACGGCCTCAAAGGCATCGCTCACCCAAAATGAGGTCTATGACATTTCGATGCCTAACACCAGCGGGACCCTCAACGCTATAAATTCCCAACTCACGCTGTCTGAAGTTGCTTCGAAAGCGAGAAAATCGCATCGAAATTCCTTCGAAAGACAGACTCGCAAAGTTGGTTCCTCTTTATTGAGTGGGCGATGAATTCGTCCCGCCCACTCAGTGACTTCACTAACACGCGCAAAGACCAAGAAATCGATCAGACACAGCGTTCCTCCGCGTCGCTGCCCGGCGATCGGCCCGCAGCTGGCCCGCGGCTGATGCAGGCACAAGAAGTGCTCGTCTATTGCGGATTCTGAAGAGCATCCCGAAACTCAATAATTCAAGACTTTTATTCAATTTTAGGGCTGGATTCGGACTCAGCGTGCGCAGGAGGTGCTTCAAAGAACAAAGGCTTAGAAACGAGGATTTGGGTGAACGGTACCTCTAAACTCACAACGCGGAACTTTTGTACCCTTCTTATTCAGAATTTAAGCACTTTGCGAGGCCGTGTTAGCGCATGCAAAGATGACATGTCTTAAATTTGTTTACAAACTGGGAGGATGTCCATAAGGGCGACGAACATAGAATGCGATGCTGAAACACGATCTCGCAGTTACTTTGGGGCTCAGCCTTAAATTAAACGGTTTCCCCTGTGCTTATTCACTCCATAACGATACTAAGCTTGCCCCTGTGTAAGCCTTGGCAAGCTCTATGTCGGTGGATCCTTCATTTTTTTAAAACATCTTTGGTTCTCCGATTTTGATATATGAGAAAGAGGAGGAAAGCTGTTTCGGTGTAATCTGTTCGTACCTCGGTCACTGTTCTATGATCCACTGCTCAATTACGAATTAAAACAATCTAGTACGTGGGTTGTACGTGATTATATAACCTATTGTAGACATTTTGCTAATTTCTAACAAATTTAAACAAAACTCACGTATGCGTCACCAACATAATAGTAAACTGACTGAAGCAGATTCATTAAAAGCGTTTACTGTAGTAGTATTACGAACCACATTGCCGCCTGCACCTCTTCTTAGTCTTCTGTCTTCTACTCTGTCTACTCTGAAAAGTGTTCTCTCAACAGTAATCGAAGTCACGGAATATGTTATGGGATGTAGCAACCTGCAGAGAAATTTCGCAAGTTGTTGCGCTACTACTCGCGAATTGTGCAATATCTAGCGTAGCCATGGGCATACGCCATACTTATACAGTTCATCCACATATTATCCTCTTCACCCGCTTCGTGAACAAAACGCACTGATTTGTCATTGGTCCAAGTGTACGAATTGGATAAATTGGGATAAGTATGGCGTGTGCGTTAAAAAAAGTGTTGAAAATCTTTGGGCAGTTTCTTTTCTCTACAACCAACATTCTAGTAGGCGGCCCTGCGTTGTTTAGTATGGTGTGTACCTGAAGGTCTAAACTCACACTGACGAGGAAATCTTCTCACTTTGGCTACTTCCCAAGCTGGCCATCCTGTTAGAAACAGTCACTACGAATGAATACAGCAACAAAGTGAACTCGCTCCACCGAAGTACCAGTGTAAACAAACATCATTTCTCTCGCCAATTGAAGAAGTGTGGTTGCAACAGCAAGAATTCTTAGGGTTTTAGATTTTGTGGATAAAAGACCTTTACGCATACGACTTAGACAAAGAAAAATAGAAAATCTTCTTTAAAATATGCATTTTAAAATGCCGTTGTCAAAATCCCCATTGCGAAATGAAACTTGAACTTAGAAGTGTTGATCCGGAGCTGGAAAGCTTTGATTTTGCAAAAACTATTTAGCATTTTAACTTCAAAACCATTCCTTTCATATGGGAGTCCCACTGAGTGCATTTACGCATTTTATTTCATATTCACGGATCTCGACAGACAGTTATTCGAATAATTATCAACAAATTACCTGACGGCGGGTTACAGTGGGTGTACCGTTAAGCCGAAAATTTGCACACATCGTTTTGGACCCCGGCACAGCATATAAGCTACTTTTCGCGGCGATTTTTTGAATCTTTGTATGATTTATTGATTTGTTTACTTGCAGCGAAGGAAAATGAGCTTATCGCGTCGTATTCAAGCATTTTTCACAAACTTGCAAGCATGAATAGTAAAGCCCATGTTTGTTTCGCAATGAGGGAGATGCGGTAACTCATGTGTCCTCTTCCCTCTGACACACGAGCGTCGACAGCACTATGGACAAATCAAGAATGGCCCAGCTAAAGCCTGTGTCCAGCTGGTACGGACAATGGTATTGCAACATGTCTCAAATCGATCACACAAACATTGAATGAGGTCAAATTGCGTTCCAGAGAACATTTACACATAATTCGCACGAAGTCGAAGCATTTCGAATTTTCGTCCACTAAGTTACCAGGATTTTCCCAAAAAGATTACAGCAATACGCCGCATCAATTTCTATCGAAAAAACCTGGAGGTAACATTTTCACTACGGGGGAAAGCCAAGACCAAGATATAGGCCGTTCCTTCCTGTGCTCGGAGAGCAATGCTGTTGCATTTATTGAAGATAGTCCATGACTGGAAGAGGCGCAGAGAAAACAAGCGATGAGAGTGCACGAGGAAAGAGAAATGACGCGCAGAATACACTCTACATAGTCTCCGCGCCCTATGCGGACAATACCACTCGTCACTGGAAGAAGCACAAACTTTATGAACAGGTCGTGAGACGGAGGAAACGATTCAACCACCATGCAGTACCTCTGAACATTTTTGGAAGGCATGGGAACAACATTACTTAACTAGTCTCCGAGACAGCTAAAGAATGTTTCAAGAAAAAGATTCTCTGGAATCCTAAGTGTGGGTCGATAGTGCTATTCAGCGGCCCAATTCTACCAAAGAATTTGTGGAAAATGGCACGTACAGCGGATATTCAAAGTGGATCAAATAGTGCAATCCGAGAAGCAAGCTCAATAATTAGTAGCAGGAGTAAACTCAAACGACCACTGTGGCTTCTTAGTGTATCGAGATCATTGAAGACATTAGTGACAGAACAAATGATAAGTCACTAACTACAAATAGAGTTGAAAGAAGAAAGGCTTGATAAGCCTTACAACTTTACCACGGCAGAAAAGCTGCAATCTCAGACAATCGCTAGGAGCAGGCGGGCACCGGAAAAATAGATTGCTGATTTCTCGCACCCCGCTCGCGGATTTTTTGCAAGGCAATCAGGACTTTTCGGAAGACCGCTTGCAGTCAGCGGATTTTTGAGAGACCGCCTGCTGAATTTTTTTCGCTTTTATCTTTTGCAGATATATTGCTGAATCTCTGAGGAATCGAGAACTCAGCAAGCGGTCTTCCGAAAAGTCCTGATTGCTTTCCAAAAAATTCGCGAGCGGGGTGCGAGAAATCAGCAATCTATTTTTCCGGTGTCCGCCTGCCCCCGGCGATTGTCTGAGATGTAGAAAATTTTGTAACGATGGGAAGAGTGCGAAACTCACGAGCAAAGTTCCTGCTCTACATGCTGGTAACCATTATCAGTCTTACTCGGAGGCATAGTTGCGACAGGGGGAGTGATGGATCTTACCCCCTTCACTTTGAGGCCAAACTCTCGATGACCCCCTTCACCTGGGCTGAGATTGGTGTTGTACTCTGAGAATATGATAAAAATGGTTATTACAAGGTTTTGCAGGCTAAGTGACTCAAGCAACAAGTGCACTCATAAATTTACAAAAGAAACGGTATTTGTGTTTATTTATATTATTTGTTTACCCTCGTAGCGTTCATTTGGAGAGCAGAAAGTGAGGACACAAAATCACTGAATTTTTGAAGCACATAAAATCCCTCATATCTCGCGTCACAGAAGACCTAGAAAAAAGTCGACGGTCTACATCGATTCTCCATGATCTCAGCTTTCGAACGGTATACAGCATGTTAGGGCTACTTTGCGTCCCGGCTCTAAAAATCATTTGCTCCGGTGACCCATAAAAGCCAACACATTGTATAGGTCGCCCCGAAAGTTCTTGCGCACGATTTTCAAAAATTCATAACTTTTGATTTTTCCAACCGATTTGACTGCTTTTATTTTCATATGAAATAGTAAGTCATGTTTTTTATAATGACATCTTATCTGCTTACTAATGGTCATCTGTTGCATAGAGAGCGATAGAAGAATATTGGTCAAAATTTGAGTTTTTCGTGTAGGGTCATAAAAAATCGGAAACTTGCAACAAAATCGGAGCAGTCGGGATTGTAGGTTCTTTTACCAGCTCTTTCCAACAGTGCAAAGTTTGCTCCGATTGAGCGTCTCCATGAGAAGTTTTGATTTTCGGGCAAGCAATAAAAAAGGCGAATTTGATTTATTTTGGCATTTTTCAGGGAAATCATAACTTTTCATGGAGACGCTCAATCGGCGCAAACTTTGCACTGTTAGAAAGAGCTGGTGAAAAAACCTACAGTACCGACGGCTTCGATTTTTGTTACAAGTCTCCGATTTTTTATGACCCTACACAGAAAATTCAAATTTTGACCGATTTTCTTCTATCGCTCCTATCTATGCAACAGATGACCACTACTAAGCAGCTGAAATGTTGTTATAAAGAGCATGACTTACTCTTTCACATATAAGTAAAAGCAGTCAAATCGGTTGGAAAAATCAGTAGTTATGAATTTTTGAAAATCGTGTGCAAAAACTTTCGGGACGACCTAATAAGAGCGAGGTGGAGCAAGTTAATAGTAAAAAATGTGCTGTGGATTGACATCTTTGTCAGCACTAACGGGAACTTGAGCGAACGCGTCTATTTAAGCGTGCTTATCGTTGTTATATGTTTGTTTTTTTTAATAAAAAAATGCGCTTTTGATTGACAGTTATGCCATCATTATTAGCACACACTCAAAAAAATGTGGGAGATTGGTGAATTTCCACACCTTCACACAAAAATCCGCCCATTTCTGGAATCTATACTCTGTAAACCTAGTGCTGAAGAAGGTCACTTTCGTGAAAACGCTCTAGACTCACTTTACCTAATTTGTAGAGAATGGTTGGTTTCAATGAATCACAACTTTAAGACATTCAGAAGAATAATATGTTATTGAAATATCCCTTAATGTTTTGGAAAGGTTGGCAGTTTGAAGAGGAAACGGCAGGTAGAATACTTTACAAAATCGCAGATGACTCGCATGTGTTCCAGTTCAACAGCGAGGCAGAAGGAGACGCCGACGAAAATGTTGTCGACATTGATACAGAGTTGACAATCGAACGAAACTCTCTGATTTCCTACATAAGGAATCCAAGCAGATTGCCTAGCAATGAGGAAATGTCCAGAAAGTCCATTGCTGATCTTCAGGTTGCTGAAGATTTCAAAGCTGCTAAATTCACAAACATGGATATGAACAAAAGGAAGGTGTTAGTACAAAGCATAGCTACTGCTGTTAGATCCCGACTGGAGTGCGGACCCAACTCTGTGCTTTATGCTTTTGGAAGTTATTCGCCTTGTGAGACCTACGATGACCTACGATATTGAAAAAAACCAACGCGCAGCATAGTATCTACTTTTTTCGGCTATTCCGCAGATGCTGTTAAAGAAGAAGTTGAGCAGCTTTCTCATCAGTCAACAGGACGTATGCCAGAGGAGGTGAAGCCAGAGTTCGACAAAGCCCAAAAAAGTATGCAATATTTCCTTCCCGTGTTGCGAAAGCATATGCGATCTCGCTCTTTCCTCATTACTTACCGCAAAAATCTGATGGACTTACTAGCAAAGCTAGTTTCCATTCCGACTAGCACGGCAGAGGTGGAGAAAGAAAATTTTCTATCTACTTTGTTATCAGAACACAACGCAGAAGTCGTACAACGATGGAGCATCTAAGCAATTACTTGAGGTTTGTCAACCTTCTACTGAACATATTGTTATCTAAAAACTTCATTTGAAGGATTGGTATAAATGGTCCAGACAGGCTGTTACCGTATGACTTTTTGAAATATCCTAAAAGATGGTATGAAGAAACTGGTCACTTACCTGCTGACTTCCCTGGTGCTACCAGAGGGCCAGGAAAAAAATCACAAAAGCGCTTAGAAAAAGAAGAAAGTTTCAAATCCATTTTTGACTCAGAACGCTTTTGCACGCAATTCTACTTCTATTTCGATGACCTTTTGGAGGAAGAAGAAGATTTTTTTAGGCAGCGAACTTGTTGTCTCGACGTTAGCGATAGTAATATTGTTGATGATGATGTGCAGGAATTGAAGTTGTTCCTAACTTGTACATCTTTTGGGATAAACCTCATTGCTTTCGTTTTCTGTTGATGCAATGAAGCAAAAGCACAGATCTTCATAAAGTCAATTTTTTCAAAAAATTTTGATTTCTTTCAAAATTTTTTAAATTTTTTTCAATTTGTGCCTAAATAAGGTGCAAATTAGAGCTCTTCATATCACGCTTTTTTACCTTTTCTCTCTTCCTCCCCACCTAGACTCACATATTCCCTTCACCCTGGAAGGTCGGAGACAGGCGAGACCCCCTTCATCTGGGGAGAGCCCGGCTCCCCC